ACAGTACAGCAAAAAATATAATCATGAAATTGGATAAAAATGATGTAACTTCCATTGAAAAAGTAATTGATTTGATCGTTGATCCAGATTTAGAATTTAATTTAGTTTATATCAAATCAAAATTTGGATCGCTACCAAATTCAATCACACAATTAGAATCTTCAAAAATATGTCATGCCGATTCTATATCAGTAGTAAAAGAAAAAAATAAAATTCAATTAGCACGAAATATTTGAGCGCGAAATTCAACAAAAATTTTGAACCGTTTTAGAAAAAAAAAATAGTGGTTATAAAACAATGCAGATTATTTAAAAAAAATTGGAAGTACAAAAATAACAAAAGGAGGATTGTCAAATCATTTGAATGCAGATGACATCACTTTTTTTTAAATATTCACTAATTACATCTGTGGAAGTCGAAAGAAGTTTTTCAACCTACAAAACTTTAATATCGGACAATCGCCAATCTTTTTTATTTGAAAATATTAAACACACTTTAATTGTTTAGTGTAATATAATATGTTCATGTAATAAAATTATTGTTTAAAAGTATTTAAGTAAATTAAATCTAAATGGTTTGAGTAATAAAAACATATATAATGTATAAAAAATGTAATTAATAATCACGATTTATGTACATGCATTTTATAAAATGTAAATTTTTAAAAATGTTAAGTCATTGATAAAGTCAATGTTGGTATTTTTATGGTAACTTTTTAAGTAATTTTTGGTTGTTTTCTAGTAATTTTAACATTTTTGTTGTGAATTTTTGAAAGATTTTTAGGTCATCAAGTTCCAGACCCTACTAATAGCCAATGTTATAATACAGAGAATTTTTATTTTATTTCTATTAAAAGTAAAACGTATAAACACGTTAAATGTAACTTTATCAATTTCATATTATTCCTGTCCGAACAGCATATGTTTACTACACTTTATATATATATATTTTTTTGTATAACTATGTAACTAATACTTATAATAATTTGTAATAATTATTATACATAAATATTCGCTTCAAATGCACGAAGTGTGTCAATCCGCTCACAATTTAAGCAAGTCCTCGAGTCGTGAACGAACTCGACGAACTATTTAAGTACACGCCTGTACATTGCAATTTGCTCGATCATAATCGTTACCGAACTGTCGTTAACCTTACCGGACTGCGTTTCATGTACGATATATATTATATACGTTTATGGACCTATAAATCGGAACAAATTGGTTGAACAAACGGTGTATTGTACTGGGTAATGGTATGGAGATTGTTACAGCAGTGGGTTACACTTGTTATTGGGCGAAACGTTAGCAATAGCGAATATATGGTATACATATATATGGTATACACACACCTATACGTAATGTAACATCTTCGAGACACATTATATTATATTCGACGAGGGGGAAAATCATAACCGAAACGGACAATAAAAGGCTACCGCGTGTAACCATATTCGCCAAGTCTTTATTTTTTCTCTCTTTCCATCTCTCTCCTCTTCTCTCCTTGGTCCTTGTACAGTGCCACATCGGCAGCGGTCGCGGCGGTGACGGCGACGCCGTGTGAGAAACTCGCTTTTATTCTTCGGCGGTCCCTTTCAACGGACGGCTGCGGCGTCGCACAATGACACACCAAACGTTCTTCGCCCGGGCACCCCGGACCGGATCTGTCAACGGTTCGCCCGATAATTTATACCGGGCCCATCGATATAATACATAATATCGCGCATACAGAACGATTGAGATACGTCTGCTGCACGTATACAACGTGTACACACAAAAGCGTTCGTACGTTTCTACTGCAGTCCAAAGAGCTCCGCGGGGCAGTTGACGTGCGTGTAAACCGCGATTTATGTTCATGCGCTCGTCGTTCGTCGCAGAGCCGTACCAAGCCATTTTTTATCCTGAGGCAGAACTGAAGCAATGTGCCCCCTAGGTTGTAGGGTTGTCACGCTCACAGCTTTTAATATGTATAATACGATTCGGAAAAATCTGAAAAATTGTAATAAGGTTTCTAGCAAAACAAGAAATAACATTTCTTAAAATAAGTTAATTATTTAATATTTTTGCGCTCCCCCAGCTTCAGGCGCCCAAGGCAAGTGTCTCGCTCACCTCACCCTGGTTACGATTCTGGTTCATCGCCGTGCGCATTTCTATCCGTGTATGGAAAACAGGCGACAGTCGAACACACGTAGGCGTAACATTATTGATTGTACGTGCAGAGAAAATAGGTTCACAACGCTGCGTGTTTACCGAGCGTACAGAGGTCGATTAGAGACTTTCGCGGCCATGGAATCCAAACAATATAGTACAAATAAACGTAGTACCTTTAAATAAAATTAACCGATCGTAATAAATATACGATAAAAATATAATAAAATATGTTGAAACGTGAACGTTGATTTTAGCTTTGGACGTCGAATTGACTTTGTGATGATGAACAAAACTTTCATTTCACACAAATTCAATCTTTCTCGAATAAAACTCGCTCCATATGCTATACAGATTACAATAGTCGTGTTTTACAATGTCTTATGCTTAAATCATATGATATACGTGGTACTCTGTTGTCCTGCAAATAATATATGAATTCACTAACTATTTTAGCATTGGACATTATAACAATTCCTGTCCAGTTCCTGCATTACCCCTTATGAAGTATATGAAATACATTTTCAATATATTAATGTATTTCAATGTTGATCGCGTGAATATGATTCAATTTTTTATGTTGTTCAACCACAAAAGAGACTTCATGTATATGATTCTTACTGTCAAGATATTCTCAGATAAACCTATAATCTGTATAAACTAAGTCTAATATGTTATACCTACCATATGAAATGTCTACACGATGTTTTTAAGACCGCTCGCAGTTACATCAGTTATGCATTTGATAGTGAAATTATAAACAGACCTAAGCCCTTTAAGGAATATTATGCAATATCTAGCACATTGCATAATATTCGTTAAAGGATGATACTATAAGTAAGAACTCTAAGTAGAATATCCAGACACCCGGTTTTAGAAATATATTTGTTTATTTTTAAAAACTCCACGTATTGTATACTTGCAATTCAAGTCCTCAATATCTGCATACGCCCATTTATATACATTATACAAACACACACACACACACGTGTCTGTTCAAATAAACGTATTATAATATTTATTTAGATCGCTCTGTATAAGCTGAACCAAGACAACCCCTTTGAAATCGCATTTTCACCACCACCGTTTTTCCTAGTATTGTTCGCACCACAATAATAATAATAATAATAATAATATTATTGTACATACTAAGAACGTCGGCACAGAGTTGTGTCGTCGCACAAAGGAGCCGCCGATGATGTCTTTATACGTATGACGTTATATTGAAACGCTTACGGGGTACCGACGCCGCCGACACTTTTTCCGCGAGAATTGACCGCGTGTTTTATTCCAACGCGTAAAAGGCGATTCCGCTCGCGCAGGGGTTACTTTTGTACCGCATGTACCGCAGTGTCCGTAAGGTTTTCCGACGGCAAACGCGCGTCCGTTTCATTCATAACGCGCGTTATCAAATCGTCGTCATCGTACGACAATAAAACGTATGTATCTGTGTCCCCGCACAGAGGAAATGCTGCGCGGGCGATCGCAGGTGCAAACCTATATTTTATAATAATAACGTTCGTTAAATCTTAAGCGTGTCATATTTCTCGTGATACGTGTATGCAAGCGTAGGTAAGAAACATGTGCTAAATGCACATGCAATAACAATAATAATAATAATAATGTTCAGCGTTATTAAGATTTTTAAGATATTTGATTTTCAAGTCAACGCGTACATAGTACGGTAACACGTTGATTACTGATGGACATTTTGATGGAAAACCAATGTGTATTATCATAGAGAATTATTAAACAATAATAGTACAATCTAATTCATCCATTTCGATATCGACGGTAAATTTTAAGCGCGATATAAATGAAAAAATTTATCAACGCGTATACATCGGTTCATAGGAATAATCTAACTAAACGCGCACCAATTATTTAAAAATATTTATTTGCTTAAACTTTCGGCTTATCCACAAACTCATCAGGATATAAAAAAACTATGATGATTCGAATGTCCATTCAGTTGTCCAGAAAAATAATTTTAAAAAAAGGTTTTATTCAAATTTCTTAAGTTAACATATTTCTGATTAAGTTTTTATTTTTTTTATTTTTTTACTCAAGCTTACAACGGAAATATAAACCACAAATAAAAAAAATATATAAATTTACTGCAAAATATTTTTACTAAATATTTTTAGATTATTTTACCATCGATAAAGGTCAAAGGTACGATGCCACAAAAGTGACCGAAATGACTGAAAAAATCCCTATCGAAATTATAGGGTCCAATACATTTAGGGTTCAAATATATTATCTATATCGTGGGAATTTGTGATATTTTTAAACGCATATAGCCGAGTGTATAAATAATTGAAGAAATATTAAATCTTGAAATTAAATTCATTGGGAAGTAATTTTTATCTCGTCGTAAGTTATAACAACAAAAACTGAGTGATAAATTGACACTGAATTGTACAATACTGCAGTCTACATCAATAATCAGGTATATATTTATGGTAGAATAATTATTACCCTCTAGTATTCCAAATCTGTACTAGTATATAATGTTTACCGTATGTGTTATATGCTAAATATTTGTTTCATACACCTATTTTCAAACTAATAAATAATAATACACATATATATATATATATATATATATATACTACAATTATAATGACGGCACAATAAAAGACAACTGTTAATTATTTTTCCTATAAGTATATTTATATACTCCTATATATGTATATATGTACGAGTATGTATACATGTTTGTAGTTAGGTTCAAAATTTTCGGAAACATAAAACGTTCAAGTATAGACATGTCAAAATAACTGAAAAAAAAATATAAATTAACTGGAACACAAATACATTTTCCCAGGAAACCCAGTCGAGGAAGGCTGTTAAAAAAAAAAATGAAATTGACCAGTTATTACTCACAAAACTGAACGTCTGACGCCAATAAAATGATCAGAGAACTTTATCTCTGCCGCTTGTAACCTGACATTAAAAATAAAAAAAGGAAGAAACATTCGAAAATAACAGTAATAAATGTGGTAAAGGAAAAAGATATCAATTTTGATTCCCATATCGACGATCTATCTATATACTTTTTTATTATTATTATTTTTTTAGCTGTTGTTCTTACAACGAGTATGATGATCATCATAAGATAGATGTTGCGCTATCCATAGCATTTAAATATCTCCAAGTCGCGATAATATTTTAACTACACGTTTATACATATTACATATTACATGCGCAGACGGATGTCCCTCGGGCAGAGTTTTTGGTTATTTTACTTATAATGTACGTATCCATCGGGTATTTTTTTCTTTGGAAACGATTTTTATATATATTTTTTTTTATATATAACAATAATCATAGGTAATGGTAATATTAATTCGGGAAATTGAAGGTGGAACCGATTCAAATAACAGAAAAATCACTGTTATTACCCGTTTGTATTGCTCGTGGTCGTGGCCGGGCAATAGAAGGAGGTGCGACTCCGGTACCTACACACATGCAGGTATTATATGTACGTATAATGTACATGCATTGCGCGTGTATTCATATGTCGTTTAACCGCACTTGCACTATATCCACGGCACATCGCATTATTATAATATTTATAATACATACCTTGTTTGAGCTCCGCGATGTATTTTTTAACGTCGTAAACAATAATAATAAATACTATTATGCTTTTTAAATTTAATGATGGTCAACACCAACGTGTATACGTATATAATACATAATACATGCGTATACGAAGGAAGGAGGATTTCACGAATAGCACATTATACATAAACGTCGGCGAACAAATTACACATTATACACGCGGGGTTAACGTAGTCATTTGACCGATTATATCTTGCGGGTCTGGTGTCGAACGACTACGCCTATGCGTCTAATATATTTATACATGTATGTTTATCATACGAGTGTCGTCGTCATCGGCCGGCGAGCAGTATTATAATAATAGTAATAATAATAACACATCGCAAGACCGACAGGGATGTACGTATTACTGCGCACTTATAAATAGGGGGTGTTGGCGCGACGCTATAGAATTACTACGTTTTGTACATGTACCTACCCGTACGGAGATCCGATTTTAACCGCCTACGTTTCAATAATAATAATAATGATAACGCGTAATACACGCGGAATGTAACCCGAATACGGTTTAATGTGCGGAAATTGTGGTGAATCGAATACATAACATAGGTACCGATCATTACACCTTTGTATTTACTGTACTATTGCGAGCTATTATTCAGGCGGCTGACTTTAGTTTCATTTTCATATGCGTTCCCGCCACCGTGAAAACGTATAGTTGTTATGGTCGCTTGTTTCATAGATGATTGGTTTACTTTTATTTTCCTTCAACTACTTATCATCCTCCACTGCGATATATATTGTAATTCAGGCCCAGATATCAATTCGCTGAAAATCTATATTTATATAAAAAAAAAAATCGTATAAGCGAATAAAATTAAGGATGAAAATACCCTCAACATCACACTAATCACACAAAATCACACTAAAAACATTTTTATTCGATGAAAAAACATCAATTAATGTGTCTCGATTGATATAAATATAACGTGTCTGATTATTTAATTTTACGATTATCGACGGACTATCTGTGTTTTACTAACAAATGTTTATATTTCGTGTGTCGATTATCTTTAATCGTATTGTATAGCAAATAAAAATAGGGTATAATTATTGTAAACATTAGATAAGAAATCAATAAATACCTTGTAATTAATTAAATATTTTTTAACAAAGTAATGTACGGTGTAACGGCGGTAAGGCACTGTTATACATCATACTTATATTTTACTTTTGATCTTTCTCGGTATAAGACATATTTCATATTTCTTAGATTTTATGGTACCTATACAAGTTAGGGATGGGCATGAAATCCGAATATCTGAATTATCCGGATATCCGGATATTCCAATTAGGATTTGAATCAAATTCTTATCCGAATTTGCCGAAGTATCCGGATCATTCAGATTTATGAATTTGCTTTTTATATAACTTATAACTATTTTTAATTTCTAGTAAAATAAATTAATTTATTTTATTGTAACAAAAAATTAATATTATATTTTATGAATTTCAACTTACTTATCATGATTTCAACAGTTTTTACAATTTATTATTAGTTACCAATATTATAATTTACTAAATTGTTTATACCTTTACTTTCTTTACTTTATACCTCTATGACTTACAGTGATATCATGACTGAATACCCAATTAAATTATCTTAATTGCATAACCTTAGAATGATTATTGAATAAGATTTTCTGAAGATAAGTTAAATTTATGTAAATATAACAATGAGTAATTGAACAGCAAAATTGAATTGAATAATCCGGATAGTTTGGATAATCCATGAAATCCGAATTTCTTAAATCCGGATTTGACAAATCCGAATAATTCAGATTTTTTAAATCCGGATATGCCTATCACTAATATAAGTAAAATTTACTGGTTAGAAATACAGTTGACCGACAGAATAGTACAGCAATTGTGAAGGAATGTGTTCAAAACTGTTTGGCAGTAAATCATTGCTGAACCTTTACTTATTTAAAAACACACATCGGACACTACCATTGCACACGTGCTCAGTCGAACTGACTCATATGTTCCCTGTATATTAACTGCAACATAATATAATAATTGCTTAAAGCAGCAGACCCGTAGGGATTTAGAAATGATTGCCAAAATATTAACCTCACATATGGTCCAAAAATGCACACTTCAGAACATTTCTATAATATTACATTGACAGACTATGGTATAAGTAAAAAATCATAATTAGTCGTTTTAAATCTGGATTTACTATTTAGTATCCATAAGTATATGACTCTTATTTACATTATATTTACTTTTTCATACAATCGTATATTGTATTACTGAAAATGTAACCTATACTGATTATAATAACATAATTATTTCATTAACATAAATAACGGACCAGATAAATTGTTTATTCGTTCAAATTTTTACCTACTGATAATAAGCAACTTACAAACATGCATTATTTTTACTAAGTATTGCCATCATGGAATTTCAAAAATTTGAGTTTAAAGTACCAATACTTTTTAAACAGTGCTCGACTTGGAAAAATTAAAAAAGGGGGACTCTATTTATTGTAAAAAAAAGAACGTCCCCAAAACTGGATGAGCGTTATGATTATAGCGTAATAATAGTAGGGAGACGCTAAAATTTCTGAAAATTAGTTGGGGTACTCCGTCCCCCTGCGTCCCTCCACAAATTGAGCACTGCTTTTAGAACGTTAAGAAAATTTCAAATTATTACAGATTCACTTTTCTTAACAATTTTTTTAATTTTTTTTTTTAATTTTTTTTCTATTAAATTTTAATCGTATTTTGAACAATTAATTTTTTTAAGGTACATAAGGTATAATAACTACGTTTGAAATTAACCATCCATTTATTTCGGGAGGGGGGTTTAAACCTAGTGGCGTAGCCAGGATTTTTAAATGGGGGGGCTAACCACTTTTTTGGATAAGTAAGGTAAGAGAGGATATGAGAATTTACCCTTAACCCCTTCCCACCATCTACCACCAGTTTCTAAACGTAATTCAAGCATTTTAGTATAGTTTTAAAAATATTTATTAATATATAATTTATAATAATAATAATCATAATTTTGGTTTCAGTATTCAGTCACTTGCTCCACTCTGACAGCTGCATCCTCTTAGGCGAATTTCTGGCAAATTCAGTTATTATTTCACTTTCATCGAATTGCTCTTTTTTATTTATATTAGCCATAGCTAACCCATTCAGTCTGTTTTCCGAGATAGTGCTTCTTAAAAAAATTTTTAAGCGATTAAGTGCTGAAAAAGTACTTTCCGGAATGAAAGAGGTAACTGGTAACGTGGCGAATAATTGTGAAAGTATTTTAATGTTAGGTCGAAGATTGGTTCGATGAGAGAGTGAATCAAGAGTTGAATTCGGTTTTGGAATATTATTTTGACTCCATTGTGGCCTCCATATGAACAGGTCAGCTTTGATTGTAGATGAGGTATCATCATGGAGATCTCGGACATATATTTTAGTAGCTTTTATAATATTTTTATCGTCATACATATTTAAATTGGCCGGAATAAGTCCTTTAAGTAGCATAACATCAATAAGCCTTTGATTAAAACGAGCATCCATTGATTCTATTAAATAGTCGAGATACATTATACATATAAACACGGCCCATGGGGGGGGCTATAGCCCCCTTAGCACCCCCTCCCCCTTGACTACGCCACTGTTTAAACCCCCAAAACCCCTCCTTGCGTCCGCCACTGTTAGTAACTAATAACTTAGATCCATATCCACTATAATATTCTTTAGTGGTACATATAACCATATAGGTTGTATACAGAATACAAAACATATACACAATACTCGTAGTACATGTTCCGATTCATCTTTTACCAGATTCTTATCCGAATAGCGACATTTTGATCGAAAAAAAAAATTTTTTTCTTCTTATAATCTTAACCAATTACTAGAAAATTATTACAGTTAAAATACCATCTTTTATTGTCAAATCAATGCATTTTAATTTTAAATTTTATTAAGTAATAATGGCACTTTGAAGATTGATTTTGTACGATTTTCCATAACCAATGTATGTATACGTATGGTCCAGGTATTAGATTAGTGCGGTGGTTAGATTTTTTTTTCTTGTGGAGGTGCGAATAGTTTTAAGTACATATTCATATTTTTTCTGTTTTTTTTTTTTTTATTTGTAATTAAATGGTAAAATAAAAGTTAATATTATATTTATCATCATTTATTATTATTTATTTATTTATATCATATTTATTCATTTATGTTTACACCAGTGGCGTATTTAGGATTTTGCTGCCCCGGGTGCACATTTTTTTAATGCCCTTTTCCTCTCACCATTTTTTTTTTTGTTGTAGCAATTTTTCTTATTCTAAAAAAACTTCAATACATGTGATATGCTAATAATAGTATCATGCAGTATAAAAATCTATCGAGTGTCCTAGAATGTTGAATATCGTAGGTTTTCTTAGTAGTATCCATGATAACAAAAAAAATTAAAGCCAATTGTAAAATGTATTAATTTATTTTCATAATATGTTAAAAATATCATTCAATTAATTTTT